ATCTCTCATTCGTATCACTCACTTCGTTCCATTTCCCACTCACACACTCCACTCACTTCGTTCCATTTCCCACTCACACACTCCACTCACTCACTTATCCACTCGCCCACTCCACTCAATTATTCACTCACTCACTCACCAGAGGCCCTGGCAGAAAGCGTCCTTGGTCAAGAGTGGAAGTAGGCCTCCGTCATGTTTATACGACGCAGCCGTGATATTCCGCCGACGCAAACTCCACTTTTGAGCCAATCCGCGCCGCGTTGAATTCAGCCCTGCAGTTAATGGTGTTCATTCTTACAGAATCATTCTGTTTCCCTCCATACCCTCTTCCTCTTTCTTCTTTTTCTTCTGGGAGTATAATTTATGACCACCGAGAGACACAAAAAGGAGAGCCGCGGGTGGATCTGATGCTCGCAAATTAGGTGAAACCCCCAGCTTATGCGTAACGCTTCGTATGAGCGAAACCACGAAGAAATGCAAGCTATACAGCATAAGCAACTGAGGATTTATTCATAACATAAAGGTGAACGCAGCGAAGCTAAGGGGGGAGAGAAAGCTTGAGGATTCGCGGTGTTGTGTTGTGTGCATGTCCAGAGAAAATTTCGGCTACAGTTTAGTTTCTTTATGCAGCGATGCCTGTTAGGTCTTTCTTTCTTTCTTTCTTTCTTTCTTCTTTCTTTTTCTTTCTTTCTTTCTTTCTTTCTTTCTTTCTTTCTTTCTTTCTTTCTTTTCTTTCTTGCTTTCTTTCTTTCGTTCCTTTCTTTCTTATTCTTTCTTTCTTTCTTTCTTTCTTTCTCTTTCTTTCTTTTCTTGCAAGGAGAGTTATAGAATGCGCTATGCTGCCTAATACATGCCAGGACTTCCCGGGTCTGCTTTATACATAATGGAACGGCGTTGAATTTTTCAGACAGCTTCTGCGCTGAGGTGCGGCTGCAGGCCCATCTCTCCGCTCGTTGAAAATAAAAGCGAAGCATTATTTTGTTTTCGTTTCTTCGAGCTCACTTTTTCTTCGGTATTTTAACCCGGCGAAGAAAGTAAAATCGCCCAAAGCGATGAAAAGAACACAGAAATTGCAAAGATGAGAACTAACGGCTGTGTTGCCAGTTCGTTCCTCATACTTCCCCCTCGCCCCCTGTTCCCGCTTCCTGCTTGCACCCCTTACACACTTTACCCTCTCCCTCTTTCACAACGCTCTGCCTTGATGTAGAATCGGTGCATGTTTTAATGGAAATATATTTCCTTCCTCCCCCCACCTCCTCCTGTGGCGAGGTCTCCGTCGATTACATTTTTTTGCGGCGTTTTGCTTTTCCTCCTTTTTTTTTTTTCTGGTGTGTTCCCGTGATCTAGAGATATATATACCACAAAGCCTGCGTGGTTCTCGGAACTCCCAATGCCTCTCTGGGCGCAGAAACCCGGAGCTTGTGTGTAACATTTATGAGTGCATTGAACCGCCAAGGCGTTGCTGGTTCGGTGGATACATGGCGTTCTTCCCGGTTGACGTGAAGTTGACGGTTCGACTCCCGACTTCTACGTGTTAACTGCGGAGCACTTGAGAGATCCGGGCTGTCGTGTGCTGTCATCCCCAATATTTCCGTAATATGCAAAGAAAGTTGCGCAGTAATAGTAGTGGTAGTAGTAGTAGTAGTAGTAGTAGTAATAGTAGTATTAGAATCATTGCACAATCGCGCTGTTACCTGCAAAAAAAAATGCTGCTTACTGTACGTGATACACGAATTTAGGCGCTCATTGCACTATTCAGATGTACACGCTTACCAACACTGTTGTCCATGCACACATTGGCGCGCATGCTACAATGCTAGCGCTGTTTCAATAGTTACCTTCGCATACGATGTGGATAAGTTCATATGCGATATTATACTGTGTATACAATTATTATGATATGTGCTTGGAGCGCTGGTATTCACAAAACTTTTGTTCACAATTAACAAGACCTATTGTTCAGCGATCGCATGCATCGTACACATAGGTGCATTTGACAATTACGTGCGGTGTTTGGTGCTCCACACACTAATTCACATAAATGTAAATACCTGTCGGTGCATAAGCTCAGGTGCTGCAATTCACTTCTAAACTGCGTTGTTACGAAGCGTAGCAATAACATCCTTAAACGCCGTCTTGCCTATACAGCCTGTGCACAGGCTGTATACCCTGTGCACAGGCTGTATACACCCTTTCAGATACATGTATCTGAAAGGGTGTTATTTCGGACAAAAAGAACGTTTACAATATCAGATAACTCAAACCAATTCCTCGCGAAACAAGCGCACCGTATCGCGCGCATGCTCCCACCTGGCTCGCCTTTCGGCGTCATTCTTCGCTATAGCGAAATCTAATTTAACGCTGCACTTTGCAATCTCGTGTGTACGCCCCGCGGCGAAACATGTTTTTTTGGAAAGACAGTTCGCGCGGGCGTCGCCGTACGAAACAGGCCTGGCTGCCCGAATCCATTAAATTTGGCCTTTTCTATGCCAGGCAATTACGGTCGGCCCGTATAGGCGCGGAACAAAGCAGCGAAACAAAAATGGCTACGGGTTTCGCCGCTGAGCGCTCGAAACGAAACTGTAATGTTGCCCCAGGTGCCTTAGCGGCGCTTTGTTTGGAGGTACGGGTAATTCAATTTTTATTGTTTTCATGTACAGCACGCCCCCCCCCCCCCCTCCCGCCGCCCGATTTCATTCTGGGTTGAAATCAACTCCGATGACATCGCAGAAAATGAGTTTGGACGTTGTCCGCGCTGTGCTGTTGTCTTTCGAAGTACCCCCCCCCCCCCCTTGCCCATAGTGGGAGCCCTCTCTTCCACCTGTGCGGGGGAGAGAGAGGTCTGCTTTATCAACGCGATGTGTGCATTTGAAAGGAAAACGCCAGGGTATCCATTTAGACACTAGTATAGCGGTGTGGCTCCACGTGACGTCACGATAATGCATGGCCGCTGTCCACAGTATAGTCTCTAATGCACGCGCAGTGGCTTGGATGTATACGTGTACCTGTTACGTACTCGATTACCGTGTCACTTTTTTGGGGGGTCAGTGTTATTGTGCTTTCGGTTGTTTATGTTTAGTACAGGGACATGATAATTATAGATTCCATCAGCTCTCCCATTTCACAACAGTTGTAACAGGGGGGTACAGTTTCACGTTTTACAATATTGGATATCCGTCGCAATAACTTTATTTATTTATGCATTTATTTATTCATTCAATATTTTTTTGCTCTATAGTCGCCTCGCGTGCTCTTGAAATGACGGCACCGTCGTTGTGCATTTGTACATGACTGTGGGACGTCGCGACGGTGCACGTCCGCTTTTAGTCTATTAGTGCGCAGTGTACACACGAAAGACCCAATGAATCTCCACATGTTGCATTTTAAATTACCGCACCGCTTTCTTTTCATATTGAGCGCTTCCCTGTTTACATTTAATTTAAAGACGTGAGTTTATAGATTGAATTACCACTCGCATTTCGAAACTGTCGCGGGGCATTTAGTTTCATGGTCGGCAAAATGTTATAAACTTTCCAATAGTTAGAATATTTTTGTTTTCAGTTTGCTTGCTCTGTAAACGCACTTTGTGCAGTCGAAAAGAAGGCTTCGTCGAATCCATTTATACGCATTCTAGAGGCGTGGCTTCATATGACGTCACGACATTATGTGGCCGCTACATGGAGTATAGTCTGCAGTGTATACACGGAGCACTGAATCGACGTACTCCTGTGGCGTATTCAATTACACTATCGTTTTATTTTGTTGTCGGAAGATTTCTGTTTCCGTTTAGCGTATACGCGAGTGAGTTATGTATTGCATTAGCTCTTTTATTTCGAGACCCCCATAGGAGGATAGTTTTGCGTTTCACGAAAGGGCGTACCTTTTAATTCGTTTTTGTATTTTTATTATGCCTTTCAAAGGCACACGGGTAACGCTTCGCTTAGCAAGTCTCACAACGCTCCGGCATACGCTATGTTGGCGAATATAAATTTATTTTTTTCCTCTCCTCTGCTCACCAAGCACATTTTGAACGAGATCACATGGGCTGCCGTGTCGTTTGGTCTGTTTGAAAAGGGAAAATTTTCAGGTGGGCCTTAAATCACTCGTATAAGGGATTCAATTAAAATTTGGAGCCAGCCGGAAATTGAATAGGACTCGTTAATTTTATTATATTTGTTTTACTTATTCAATCTATGAATTAAGCTCTGAATTGAAGGGGCGTACGTGTGTGTGTGTACAGGAGTTGTGTGAAATTGATTCCTGGCGGAAACGCTGTAGCAAAGCAGCCGCGAGTCTTTTGTTACCCCGCGACTGTCTGACGCTGTAAGTTTGTGTGTCGAAAAGTTGGCCAAGAACGTAAAGACTATTCAAGAAGTTCATCGTGAGATCGTACACTTTCGCGTGCTGTCCTTAACATTTACCTAAGGAGATTGTTTAAGATAACTCACCTAAAAAGTGGGTCAGGGAACAAACGTGTGTTAAGGGCATCGTAGTCGAAATCTAGAAAAAAAGAAAAACGAGCGTGGACTAACTACAAGGCCTGTAGTGTGAAGGCAAGTAACAGCTGGTCATTAAGATTAAAGGTATTGATCCCAAGAGAAGACAAGCACGTGTTGGGAAGGATGATGGGTGGGCAGATGATATTGAGAAGTTTGCTGTAGTATAACGTGGCAGCATCAAACACAGGACCGGGTTGATTCGTGAAGTCTGAGAGGCTTAGTCTAGCAGTGGGTGTGGTCAGGCTGACCGTGATGATGATGATTGGATTGCGAACTTTTTTCTTGCAAAAACGATTTTACCCCGAGGCGAAGCCACGGCGATAGCGCTGACGATGGTGACGACTGTAATTGGGGATGTTGATAGCTGCGATTTTCGTATCTTCCCTGAAAATCTTCCCTTTGTTTCGGTACATGCTTAGTTGCATCTTTTATACTATTTAAAAACGAGTGCGCGCGTATCTCGCCTGCTTGACCAACCCCGTTCTTCTCGTTGCTGTCCAGGGATACGGCATGGAAGACATCGAACCTGGCCCAGGAGACGACAGCGTCGTCGACGGTCACAGCCCGTTTCGACGAGCTGTCGGTGGTGGTGCGTGGCAGTTCCCCAAGTTCAGCAATTCGGTCAGTCTTCTTGTCTCCGTTCTTTTCTCCCATGTAGTGATATATGAACGTTGTATTAGACAGTAGGTGTGTCGCACTAAGGTGTGCCGCCAGGCATACCTTTCACGCTTCAGCCGCTCTCACAATCATTGTCTCGTCCTCTTCACGAGCAGGCAGGCAGGCCAGCAGGCAGGCAGGCAGGCAGGCAGGCAGGCAGGCAGGCAGGCAGGCAGGCAGAGAGATAGATAGATAGATAGATAGATAGATAGATAGATAGATAGATAGATAGATAGATAGATAGATAGATAGATAGATAGATAGGGACAGACAGATAGATAGATAGATAGATAGATAGATAGATAGATAGATAGATAGATAGATAGATAGATAGATAGATAGATAGGGATAGACAGACAGACAGACAGACAGACAGAGAGGGGGGGGAGACAGATAGACAGACAGAGAGAGACAGACAGACAGACAGACAGAGAGACATAGAGAGAGGGGGAGACAGATAGACAGAGAGAGAGAGAGACACACAGACAGAGAGAGAGGGGGAGACAGACAGATATATAGACAGACAGATATATAGATAGATAGATAGATAGATAGATAGATAGATAGATAGATAGATAGATAGATAGATAGATAGATAGATAGATAGATAGATAGATAGATAGATAGATAGATAGATAGATAGATAGATAGATAGATAGATAGATAGATAGATAGATAGATAGATAGATATAGATAGATAGATAGATAGATAATAGATAGATAGATAGATAGATAGATACTCTTCACTTTTACGCTGTCTACCTGTACGTGGTCCCGTGCGGTCTTTCGCAAGCCTCGCTGTTTCATTCACACCCCTTTAGAAGCTACACACATGCGTGGCACTGTACTGCTTTATACGACGTCTTGTTTAATACAATCGCGCAAAAACCCTTCGCCACACCTTTACCGATGGGGCACGCGCTTGGTTTCTGATATTTTCTAGGCACGCGTTTCGTTCCACCTTACTTACACGTGCATACGTATGTACCACTCAACACTGTCGAAATTTGGGCATGTTGGTGCATTGTGACGACAGAAAATAGCGCAAAGAAACGGGGACACAAGACGAGGACACAAGGCACATGTACCACTACTCCACGGGAGGTCCTGCTTATGTACCACCACAAATGTGTATAGTACAGTGCTTGCAGAATCGAAATATCTTGACACCCACTGTGCCCGTGTGTATACACCACCATTGTCCCATCCGCGAATCCCTGGGAATTTAGTCGCCGCGGCAACAGAGGTGGTTCATTGCGTCGAAGACCCGTGAAAACAATAACAATTATGATAATAACAAGAACGTCAACAAAAATAACAATTGTAACAATGTATGGCTGCCACGGGCTACTAGCGCGAGTACTTCGCACCGTGCTGCGGCGCGGGGTTCAGTGATTAGGCTTAGTATAGACGGGCGTCTGGACAAGCCTTTCCCGGTTGCGGACGCGCGAAGTTACAGAACAAGGGGGGTTCGTTAGTCGCTAATTACTTCGGACCTGCCACCTTGTTCGCCCCTTACCGAAAAAGAAAAATACTCTTAACAAGCTCCACTTAGCAAGGCCTTGCAGGCAGCGTTCGTAATAGTTGCGCCTTCGCAAGAGCGCGTTTACTTGCGAGCGAGTGTTTGTTTTGGTTAAGCGCTTTCCCCGTCCCACTTGAGCTGCCAAAAAAAAAAAATACGCCGGCCAGTCGAACGCTTTCTGTGCTTGCCCGCAAAGCACGAACTCGGAACGGACTTACGCTGCTGCCCTCTCTCAACAAACATAGTCACTTCCGCGCATTGCGGATGCATCGCTGCTGCAGTTTTTTATTTTTTTTTATTTTTTTGCGGCAGCTAATCGTATCACGCTTATGGTTCTTGTTTTCGGTTGACTCGTTCTCGGCGTAGATTGTTTTTTGCCTCATTAGGTGATTTAATTCTTTTTATCTAGATGTCGCTACGACGTATTATGATCTGTTGCAATAGCAACTTCGTTAATCCGATAGTTGGTATGAGTGTGTGGTTCAGAACGTAAACATGGTGCACATGTCGGAAAATTTAAGATTAGGTGAAGGCTTGCGGATATCAACGAATCCCCTGGAATCCCGCCTTCGTAGATCTTTCATTTCACGCTATGACGGTAATATTTAGTTGCTTCGTTGTATATGTAGTTAGCTATATGTAATTATGGTGTTAACCAGTGCATGCGCTGTGCTTTGTAACTATCAGGATGCCTAATAAGACATACAGCTCGAGTCTGTTCGCACTTGGCTCTTTTCCGTTAGTTATTCTCGTCTCCACTGTGATTCGTTCTTTCTTCATATGCATTTGCCTCACGCTGGTGTGCAGCGGCTTCGCTTGACGTCACTTCCTTTTGAGTGAGTGAGTGAGTGAGTGAGTGAGTGAGTGACAGGCAGGCATCTGTGGGCGTAAACAAAAGCGTTTTGCTTATCCGCATCCCCCCTTTTCATTTGCGCACTTCTTTTTGCCGCAACGTCAAAGCAGCGTGCCAGGTATTGTTTAGGAGGGGAGGGAAGGGGTGTATACGTAATGAAAGCAGCACTCCCGGTTGCGTCGAGGTGGTGAAGCAGGTGTGAGAGGTGAGGGTATGGGGGAGGGGATGTGGCGGGGGGTGGTGGAATTCACTTTGCGACAATCAACGTGCATCCACCTAAACTTGCACAAGCATCTGAGCCGCATGACAGCTAAAGCACCCCCCCTCCCCCAACAGCATTCTGGCGCGCGTGTTCAACCGAAAACAATGCTCGAAGCTCGCCCCCTACCGCTCTACCCCCCCCCCCCCCCCCACGACTTCACGTATACACCGTGCTTCCACGGGCTTGACAACGACAGCACACCTTTTGTTCGTTTCGTTAATTGAATTAGCCTCCGTAAGAGTAGTCGCTGACAGGTTTAGTTTTCAAAGGGGTTTGTTAGCAGCGCCTTGTTGACGCCTCTGTGTCGTCGCCTTTTCGCTCGGGATAGCTTGCATATTTTTGTTCGCACTCGCGTTAATTAAACTGCGAGGCAAGAATCAATTTTGGATGTCTGAGCTCGGATGGTTGGATGTCTGAGCTTTATTTACCCTCACGGAGGTATACGGTGGCACGTAAGAAGCCCTTGTCTGAAAAGTGCCATCTTAGAGATTCACGCGCCCAGGTTTATATGAACTTTGAAAACGCCAAAAGTAGTTCACTACCCGCATTAAACTTCATCATCATCATCAGCGTAATTACGGCCACTGCAGGGCAAAGGCCTTTCCCATGATCCGCCAGTCAACTTGGTGTTGACTTTTCTGCTGCCACTTTGTACCCCAAACTTCTTAAGCTCATCTGCCCACCTTACTATCTGACTTCCCCTCACCCGCTGACCTTCTCTGGGAATCCAGTCAGTCACCCTTACAGCGGTTATTCTGCCGACGCGATAAGTGCCGGGCCTATTTCCATTAATTATTCTTGATTTCAACTATGATATCCTCAATCCCGGTTTGTCCCCCGAATCACTCTCTTCTTGTCTCTTGATGTTACACCTATCACTTTCCTTTTGATCACTCGCTGCGTCGTCCTCAATTTAGGCTGAACCTTCTTTGTAAGCCTCCCTGATTTCGGCTCGTAGCAAGTACCCGCAAGATACAGCTTAGTTATATACCTTTCTCTAAGAATAGTGGCAATCTAACAGTCATGATTTTGAGTATGCTTGCCGAATGTACTCCACCCCATTCTTATTCTTCTAGTCGAATCAATCTCGTATGAAACATATATAGGGGAAAAAGAAACTGAATTCAACGAATATCTGGTGCTGATGGCTTACTTTGACAGGCCCTGGGATAGTTTGAATTCCTGTGCTTAATAGAACTGCACTTCAGGGAAACCGGACGCAGTGCACAGCATGGGAAACAGAGGAGCACTTGGTGATCGCGCGCTTGCCGAGGTGGTGGCGCCCTCTATGGCGTGGCACGAGCATGCGCCAGGTGTTTCTGAAGCGTTTTTTTAAAGACGATAGTCTTTTCTTGGGGACCTTCGACTGCAAACATTTTGGTCTGTCTGTCTATCAATCTGTCTGTCCGCATCTTATCGATACCCTAAAATGCACAAGACGATGCCCCAAATGACCAACCCCATCCGCAGCGCCCACCAGTATTGCTCAAGATTCAGCGTTCATACTTGTGTGATTGTCAAAAAGCAATTATTGCGCATATCTGAGGCACCATAACAACGCGTCAATATTGTGTATGTGTATTTTACTAGAAAAGGCATACATAAGTAATTCTAAGGACCGCATCGTTTATCACGCTGCGCTGACCATGCAACGCTTGCACGAAAAAGGCAAGTGTTTCCAACGCTTTGCTATAGACGACACGGTGGTTGCACCTACCCGTCGCCTTGCGTTCTACACCTTGTCATCTCCGAGACGGGCGCGCGCCCTTCGTTTTCCAAGATAACTGCCAGATGGCGCTCATGTCTCAGGTGTGACGTGACTCGATGCGCTCGCCTCCGCTGCACGCTCGAGGCACTCTGACGCAGCGCCTCCAGAATACCATTCAGTGATTTTCTTGCGCAGAACATCAAATAAACGTTTTTTTCACTCTCTCCAGACGCAAGACTCTCGTCTTTCGACGAAATTTGCAGTGTAACATGCAGATACGGCGCCAATTTTTTTTTTAATTTTCAGTGTATCTTTGCGATAGGTATTAGTTATTTTCAGTGTATAATATTTAAACCTCGTTGATCTTGAACTTCGACGCGAGATAGTGGAAGGACGACAACGCAGTTGTCTGGAGTGGTACTCAAAACAGCAAGGTCACCATCCCCTTTTCGGTGACACGGCAGATGATCATCGAGCTCATTTCATTCATTTCGTGGCATAGTCCTATCAATTGTTTGTCCGGTGGCACTGATTCGTTCTTTGAGCTGTGCTGCCAGCTGGAATTAATGAACAGTACAAGCTCGCTTAGCTTGTGGTTGTTTTGATATATCTTTCATGC